AACTAGAGCTACGAGAGCCGATGTGGGCAACAGTAAGAGCTGAGGGTGGTATGGTTTGTAGTGGGAGCTGGTGGGGTGGGGAGGGCTAGAGAGGTCGGCTGGGAGGAGGCCAGAAGGTAGAGCAGCTGCCGGGAGGACCGACCAGGGGACAGAGAGGTGCTGGTAGGTGGTCGCAGAGGAGTACAACAACTGGAGGGGGTTAGGGAGGAAGGATAAATGCTGGCAGCCGTGAGAGAGGGGCTGCAGTAGTTGGACAAGAGCAAAAAAATGGTTGGCAACAGTGAAAGAGGGGGCAGCGGTGGCTGGATTCGGAGCTGGCAGCAGGGAAACAAATGTAAGGGGAAGATAAATGCCTCGTTGGGGTCGAGCTACAGCCGGAGGATCACCCAGACCCTTGGAGACGATCATCACCTAGGATGAGGGACAACCAGAGCACTTCCTCGCCTTTGGATACAACTCTCGAAGGGAACAACATCGGTGGCGGCAATCTGAATTTAGCGATCAATTAAACTAACTTAGGAAAGCAAGCATACATTTATATTTGAAGTCAGTAGATAAAAGAGGCAAGATTTAAAGGAGGAAGGAACTATTAAGGCAAGGGATGCAAAATAGGAGTTCCCCTATGGAAAGACTCAAATAGGCAGGAGAGGGCAGCATATGCAGGAGAGGGCACGAATAGGCAGGAGAGGGCAGCATATGCGGGATTTTAGGCAGGAGAGGGCAGCATATGCAGGAGAGGGCAGCATAGGCGAAAGAGGGCAACATAGGCGGGAGGTGGCAATTCCATGAATAGGAATTCACGTGCACGAGCGGCAAATCCCGCTCTAACGAGCAGGAGCAGGGATCGATCCAACCAGCCTCTGTCCAGATCAGTCCATCTGACTGAAGTGTTGGTCGGTTCAACCATAGCGAGAGGGGGTCACGCACACCTGTATCAAGAAGGGGAAACCCCATGTCAATGGAACATATTGCGATGTTTCTTTAGGCGAGTTCAAGATTATTTCAAGACTTCTGCCTAAGCTTGGTTGCATATGTTGATAATATTTAACTTGTTGATTAGTTTGTCATAATTGATGAGGATATCTGTAGTTGAAGAGTTTGTTGGAACACACATTTTTTTTTAATTTTTTCTGAAATAGATTTCGATCTTTTCAATGTGATTAATTTTCTTTTGATGTACATGATTTTTACAATTACTTAAGAAGATACTGACAATTGAGTTAGTCCAAACAACAATAGAAAATCAAATATTATTACTCGAAGCAAAATGCAGTTATAATTACATGCACTTGAAAGGGAAAATATAATACACACGATACACACACTCGTGTTAGGGTGGATTTTTTATGATGGTGGTGACAGTTAGGTTTCTTGGAGAGATGACGGTAAGGTAGGGAAGGGTTTTTCGGTATATGGAGGAGTGGCGACAACGATTATGGGCGGATGAAACAACATGGTAGCAAGGGACGACAATCCAAATAGCAGTAGTTTGCTATTTGGGGCGGCTCAACAGAAAAACAACAATGGGAAGACGTTGCGTGCTGCAAAGTGACGGTGGAGGGTTGGGATAGCGAGGGCAGCGGGGATGAAGGCTTGGAACAACGACGACAACAAGTATTAGGGGGTTCGAATGCTTTGGGCTATCTGAAACAATCACAGGGAGGGCTGATGGCTGATTTAGAAGGAGGACGATAGGGATTTTGTAAGGGAGGTGGCTGGAAAGAGAAATGAAGGAAAGAACAACAATATCGGCTGTCCTGGGTAGCTGCAACGAGGAAAGAGGCATGACAAAGAAGTGTGGGGTGCGGGGAAGGAAAGGTCGATGATAAATACTCCCTCAAGAATGTGCTACAACCGGCGTACTATTTGAATCTTGGAAGAAGGTCACCACCTCAGACGAATTACAACCTGAGCATTTTCTCGTCTTCGGATGCAACTCGAGAAGAGGAACAGCAGATTCATGTGGCTATTCTGACAGAAATATGAGAAAAAAACTAAACTTAGAACATTAAGAATACATATATAAAATAAAATGATAACTAGGAGTGGCCTAAGAGGACTGACTGACTCATCAGAAGGGAGAAAACCTAGACCAGTTTTGTCCAACGAAAGAATGAGTCGTGTGGAAACGATTGTGTGAGGCACTTGCGATGCCTGCGTGTCCATTGGTTCCTTCGTGCCTGGCATGACGCCCCCGTGTCAGTCTCCTAGTGTTGGGGGAGCTTCGACCTCATCTATCGAAGTTTCTGTCTTCTCATAGTAGTCATGTTGGTCTCACTGAAGGTATCAAGGATGATATAATCTCTGGACAAGTCGATCTTGTATGCACTGACATTGCACACCATATTTTGATATAATGAAATTATATCATCTTTTGACACATTCTGAGCTAGAGATGCATATCGATGTAAGTTCCTGCAATATAACTCTCGAGCTCGTAAGTCTGAAACCTTCTTCGTCCACTTTTCTTATTGATTGGATTGTAGCTGATAAACATGTTTGTAAGGAGAAATCAACTTCGGGGTGGATTTTGTGTAGGCTGCGCCACTCTCACTAGCAACTACTCAGTAGAGACATTTTCTTTTTCACTGATAGGATCTGGATTTCATTGAAAAGTTTTCTTCCCTCTCAAGCTCTAAGACAATTTTCAAAGTTGTGGTTCATCCCTCATGTCTGGACATCTAGTGGTGGGTTTACTGCTGAACTAAATCTAATATCCGAAGAACTCCATATAATCTTTTCGATGTGACATAAAAGGGCTATAGATCTGAAAAGGCTGAATTTCTCTTATCTGTGGTTGTCGAGTGTTTGGTGTTGGCTCCTCAGAATTAGGACCGTCTTGAACCGCCAATGTTAATTATGTTGGAGTCTCCTTTATGGCCGCAGCTTGAATTGCGTGCTTTTCTCCCTCATCAGTTGGAATATGATCCTTCTCCTTTGTGTCCTCACTTTATTAATCTATTGTGTCATTGTCCTTTTCTTCATTAACTCCCTGCTCAATGAAATTAATCATCCTACTGGTTGTACCATCTGCTTCAACATGCTTAAATCCATGACACTTAAAACACCTTCTGATTGTGATGGATTTGAGAATATAGATTCACGCCCTCTGTTCTTTGAACTAGTGTCTATTTAGGAAGGGTCAATATGGATGTTCCGCTCAGTATACTATAATTGTAAGATCTTGAGGTTAAACCCTACCTGTAAGATGTGGTAGTCGCCGGGTTATGTGGTCTCTTCACTTTTGAATATAAGGTTTGAACATCCAGTCTATAGTGAGCTGGTAGGAATTGAAACTACTTCTTTCTTTTCATCTTGGACTAGGTAATAATTTTTTCTTTTCCTTCTCCCTAGCGTAGGTACTTGAAATTTTGCCACCAAAATAATGCACTCTTCTTTAGATTGCTGGCAGCTAGTTTCATCATTTTGTCCGGTGAAACGTTATGACATTGAAAGACACATTCTAAGGTCGATGAGGATCCATATCGCCTTCGAAATATGACAAATCAATCTTTACTTCAAAATTCTGGCTTCTCAAATATTTCAGGTCATATCTTCGAGGTGGAGGTTCTTAATCCCTGGAATTCACATGGTAGAAAAGATTCACTCTATTCTTTTGATCTAGCAAGTCACCGTTGTGGCTACTGGTGATCCATCCGGAGTGCCTCCTCTCGAATGTGGTAGGCCTATATTGTAGTTTGCGGGTTTTCTGTTGCATATTTTTCTTTGAAATCTTCCAGATACCTTTAAGTCAGTCCTTTTAATATTTTTTTTAGCTGCATTCCTTTGCAACATAGCATTGGGAACTAAAAGAAACCAAATAGAAAACTTAGACGACAGAGTTCTATGCATTATGCAGGCTCTTCCTTACTGTCAATACGTTTTTGTTTTCCAGGGAGTTTCTCATTTTTTCGGTTTAACAGTGGTTTAATATCATAATTATTTGAAGTACATTGCTTTTCAACATGTCCAGTGGTTAGAGTTCTTGAAGGAGCACTTCTTGTTCTTAACTGAAGGTGTTGTGAATAAAACAACTATTCAAATTAATAGTTTGGTTGATTTTCTCCTATCTAAAGGGTGGTTGATTTCTTAATCGTTACATAGGATTATCTCGCTTTTGGAGATTTTGATTTGTTATGTGGCTCTTCATGAGATCCACCACATGCTGTACAGAATTAATTGTCAGAGATGTTTATCATTCAAAGGGAGTTTACTATATTCTTTATGTCTCTTTATGAAATTTTCTTATTTGCGAATTTAATTCTAGGGGTATTGTAAATATTGTCGTAGGGACCAAACAATGGTGGAAGAGTTTTACAGTTTGACTAGTTATGATTGCCATTTGGCATTTGTAGTTCTTCAGGTTCAAAATTGCTAGTTGGCCAATTGTAACACAGCACTAGCTTATAAGCTTTATGGGGTACTCCCCACATTGAAATCATTATGAGCTTAGATCTTGCTTAAGTAACTCACTTTTTGGAGACATCATTCAATTTTGTAATTATGTACAATTTTTCGAAATTATCACATTTTATTTCTTGCAACGAAACTTTTATGCTTAAATGTTGGACGGATATCAAATCACTTTCATTGGAGTTTGTTATTTCTAGATGAGAAAGAACTTGTATGGCTTAAGAGTCGAGTCGTCATCTCTATGTCTTGCATCAACTATCTTGGTACGGAATCTAATTGATGGAACAAATAAGCTACCATCCAACATATTGTAAAATCCTCAGTTTTGTGTATGCATGCTTCTCATTATTTTGCATATGAATGCAATATTTGGTGCTATTCCTAGCTGATTTTTCTCTTTGGGCTACACACTTGTTTTATGTGATCTAAAGATTTTCACATTTTCAATTTCATGTAAATTTCCCTTTGGTTCATGGTTGCAAAAGCATTCTAACATTAAAATCTGAAATTCTTGAAATAAGGTTTTGACAATGCTGTTCTTTATCTATTTTGCCTTTATGTTTTTTGATTGAATTTATTTCTTGTAGTGATTGAGTTACCCTCACCACATCATCAATGGTCTGTACTGAATTGTTCAGTGGCTCGAGTGGACAGTTTGATGGGAACTGTTCACACTTTGCGCCTGGGAATGACAAATGTTATTGTTGAAGACATCAGGGTTTCTGGTCATATTCAAGCTTCAGCTCTGCATGTTGTCCTCCCAGAGAAGTTGTTGCTATACCTAGTACCTATCACTAGCTTATTTGATCCTGTTGAAGGTATTGATCCTATACCTTCTTCAGACACTTGGTATGTATTCCCCGGTCAATTGTACATAATTTACATGAAGGTTTTCTCAGAAGGGCCAGATTCAAATGAGATATTTATCACGGAGGTACTTATTTAGCAGAAATTCAATTTCAAATCAACTTCTTTACACTGATTTGTTGCATATGTATTGCAGTCATATTGACATGTTTACAAGCTTACATATGCATATGCATGGGGACAGGGACACATTCTCACACGCATACATAATAAATGCAGATATTTAAACTCATGTGTATATGTAGCTAGCTACTTATATGATTGCAGTCAAAACATGTGTGTTTATAAGTAAATAGTAATTTCTTATGTTTATGAGCTCACCTGTTAGTGTACATATACAAACACAAACATATGTACATTTATAAACAGTCATATGTACCTACAACATCATTTTTTTAACAGAAAAGAGCTATAATTTGTCAGATAATAATAAGAAATTTGTAATTATCGCAATTCTACAAAATATTATAAATTGAAATTAGAGTGGTAATTGCTGTGATCAATATGAAATAATTTTTAAATGCAACACATAACACTAAGTATATAATGATAAGCATCGACAGCCTTAACAGACAATTTGCTTCTTAATCTAGCAATTGAATATTTCACCTTTGAGGCTCGCGACGAGACTTTTTCTAAGCGCATGATATGATCCTGAACAAAAAACATCAAACAAACATTAGATAAATTGCAAGAGTGGGGGAACTTAATTGAGTGCCGATTACCAACGAAAACAAATAAGATACAACATTGATCTACTGTTCGAGAGGTAGATCATATCTCCAAAAACACTAGACAACATTGGGAACAACACCAATAACAAAACCTTTATCCCACTAAGTGGGGTCAGCTACATGAATCCTTTTACCCCACTGCGTCCTATTTAGTGTTATATTTTCATTTATTTCTAATAAATTAAGATCATTTTTTATACAATATGCTCAAGTCATCCTAGGTTTACCTCTGCCTTTCTTAACATAAGTTGAATCTAAAACATCTGCTTTTCTAGTCGGATCATCAGATGGTTGAGGTTTAATGTGACCAAACCATCTAAGACGACTCTAATTTTGTCCGTCACTGGAGCTACACCAAATCTATCACGAATATATTCATTTTGCATTTTGTCTTTAAGTGTAAAGCCACTCATCCACCTAATCATTCTCATCTCCGCAACACTTAACTTAGTTTTATGCTTCTATTTTAATGGCCAAAATTCAACGCCATCTAGCATTGCAAGTCTCATTACCATCTTATAAAATTTTCCTTTCAGTCTAAGAGGTACTTTCCTGTCACACAATAAACTGGAATCATTCCTCCACTTCAACCAACCAACTTGAATTCCACCAATAACATCCCCATCAATATCACCATCACTTTGAACAATAGACCCGAGATATCTAAAGCATTCACAACTTTTAATAATTTGATCACCCAGATCACCCATAGTTACCCATAGTTACATTTCTGTCACTAGAGCTACTACTATTAAAATTACATTCCATGTATTCGATTTTGGTTTTACTCAAATGAAGACCTTAAGACTCCAAGGTAGACCTCCATAATTCAAGTTTTTCCTGAGCTTTTTCTCTCGTCTTATCCACGAGAAGAATATCATCAGCGAAAATCATACACCAAGGTACGTTCTTCTGTAAGTTGCAAGTATGGCCATCCATGACTAAAGCAAAAAGATATGGGCTTATAGCCTATCCCTGATGTAAATTCATGTCGTGATTTTTTCGATAAGTTTTACCGCTTGGAATACCAAGAAAAAAGAAAAACTGCAGCAAATCAAAACATAAAAACCTAGCCAGTTAACCCTAATAAATACTCCCCTTGATCCTTTAAAACTTTCCCCTAGATCCTTTAATTCCCCTTCTCTTGTACGTGATTGGCAGCTGCGTGTGCTCCACCTGGACGTTAGAATTGTTCGTGACATCTCATAGGGATTGCGCCTCTCTAGGCTGGGCCAGCTGGCTTGGCCAGGCCTTCGGCTGGTCTGACTAGGTCTAGCTAATCCAGACCAGCCCTCCTTGTCAAAGTTTTGAGAAAAAATAGACTGAATAGACTCGATGCCTTTTCCCTTTGCTTTCATTCCATTAAATAATAATCTTACAATCTATTTTAGATACAAAATATTTTGTATAATCTATTTTAGGTAACTTAATAATAAGGACCTGCTGTTTTAGATACAAAATATTTTGTATCTATTTTAGATACAAAATTCATAATAATCTATTTTGTACAATCAGGAAGAACGGAAATCAGACAGCTCCTCTAAACAGTCATACGAGCAGGTCCAAGGAGTGTCAATCAGGAAGAACAAAAATAAATCAGAATAAAGATATTAGAAATAATTTAAATAAGGAAGCTCCTGATTATAAAAAACTCCTAATTTAGCTGTCTGATTTCCATCATTCTTGATTGACACCCCCCTCAAATTCATTTTGACTGATCAGGAAGCTTTAATTTGCCAACAAGAAACTGATAACACTGTCGGGACCAAAAATCCTCAAGCCGTGAGTACCGATGTCGAATGTCCGAAGCCGAGAATGTCGAAGACTCAGAGACAACTCCTGAATCATAACATGATTTGAGCAGAGAAAAACAAATAATTTTTATCATTGTCGCCCAGAAATTCGAATCATAGCCATAAGAATGATCCTCAGTTACACGATCCAAATGCTATCGATCATAACCCACAAATAGGATCCAATTACACGATCCAGATGCTATCGATCATAGTCTACAAGTGGGATCTGCGTCCTGATCCAAATGCTACCGATCATAGCTCACAAATAGGATCCAGTTACACGATCCAAATGCTATCGATCATAGCATACAAGTAGGATGCGCGTCTTGATCTAAATGCTACCGATCATAGCCCACAAGTAGGATCCGTGTCCTGCTATACGATCCAAATGCTATTCATTCTTCCTCCTCCGACGAGGACGATTGGTTCCCTGATCTTCACGCCAAAAGTGCTGAAGTCGAGATACTGAAGCCGTGGGCCTAGGAAGGAGTGCCGAAGCCTTCAATTCTTGAATGCGACGAAGCAGCCGAAGTCAAAGCGGATGAAGCGAATTGTAAGAAATAGTGGAAGATTCCGTAGAACTAGCGATGCCTAGCGAAGAAATCCAAATCGAACGAATGATAATACAAACATAACAATTTTCTTATCGTTCTCAGTTCTTGCGGTTTTCGCCGGGGATTTCCTCTCTTTTTTCTTGCCATGTTTTCTCTCTCTTATACCTTAATCAGAAAAGGGCTCTCCTACAATCTATCCGGAGGATTTGACTTAACCCACCACCAGATCCGAATCAGCCAGGTAGGACGCGAAAGCCTTGCCACAAAGGGAGCAGGGGTGGAGTTTGAGAGAAAGCATAGGATTCGTGACGGGCGAGCGTAAGGAGGCAGATGGTGAGGTATTCCTCCTCCAATTGGGAACCACTGAAGCCATCTATCTGTCCGTCGAGCTGCAGATCCAATCTCCCACCACTCCCAGCTACCCAAGGAAGGCTTCGGCTAGGAGTGGACCAAAGCTCTAAGGCTAGCGCGAAGGAGGAAGGGGTCTCCAGAAGAGCTGGGAAGGTCAGCGGCTGGCCGTTCGCAGTCGAGGAGCACCAGTCAGCGAGCCCAGGCACGAGAGGGAGAATACGTAGTCGCAGTCAAAAATCAAAGGAGGACGACACAACCTAAGCGAACGAGGGAGGACGAAGCAGCCTGGGACTAAGCGGCAAAAGGCGAATCGAGGTGGACGAAGCTGTCGCAGCAGACGAGAATCCTTAGATGGCCGAATCAAGGCAAAGAAATAGTTACTCCTTTCCTGCAAGAAGGCCGGCGGGAAGCAAGCATTGACAGTCTTCCAATAACTTCCGGCGGTTAGGGCAAAATTTTGGCTCTGACACCATGTCAAAGTTTTGAGAAAAATAGGTTGAATAGGCTCGATGTCTTTTCCCTTTGCTTTCATTCCATTAATTAATAATCTTACAATCTATTTTAGGTATAAAATATTATGTATAATTTATTTTAGGTAACTTAATAATACATTCCTAATCTAAACATTCAGCTAAAAGGGAAATAAATAGAATAATGATATTGAAAATAATTTGAATAAGGAAACTCCTGATTATTGAAAACTCATAATTTAGCTGTCTGATTTCCGTTCTTCCTGATTGACACTCCTTGGACCTGCTCGTTGTTTGCAGGGTTTGCTCTTCCAGCGGCTGGGGTGAAAGCAGGCATAGGCATATCAAGTCTTTCTTTCCAAAAAAGCAACTTGTACTCAAGCTGGAAGGATGAAAACTGCTTTTGGATCCCTCCTTAAGGCTCTCACTTTGCTTCATAATCTAGATCTTTTCACTTAATCAGTACCTCATTTGCTCCAACCACTCCTCGATGCACTCCTTCAATCTTTAAAGGTTTCAAAATCACCTCCATGTCTTCTGTCAGCATCGAAGGTAGTGAATACGAGGGTGTATGATCTTCAATAGAGCAGATCAGCTGTGAAATATGAAATATTGGCTATAGTGTTGATGATGGTAATAACCTCAAATGGTAAACTATTGCCCCAGTACGTGTTGCAATCTCATAGGGTTCAAAATATCGTGGAGAAATTTTCTCGTTCCTTCGCATAGCCAATGCCTTCTGCTAGTAGGTTCTCATCTTTAAGTAAACCACGTTCTTGAGTTTGAATTGTATTTCTCTCCTTTGTCCATCCGCCTTCCTCTTCATGATCTGTTGAGCTTTTAGTAGATCCCCTTGAGTTCTGTCAATATTCCCTCTCCTCCAAGTACTAGTCAACACTGGATATTGGTGTAGTGCTATGCCCATAATGTATTAGGTGAGGTGGATCTCACCAATACAGAATCTTGAAGGGGGTGGCCTGTGCCATAGTATGGTATAAAGTATTATACCAATATTCGACCCATGCAATTCACTTGGCCCAAACCTTTGACTTATCTGATACAAAACAACGTAGGTATGACTCCACACACATGTTGTCCATTGTCATATGGTCATCAGTCTAGGAATGATATGCTGTGCTTCTCTTGAAGAATGTTCCTTTTA